AGATATTATTTGAGCTTTTGAGATGTTAATCAGCTGCTGATGGTTGTTGAAAACTGCCTTGTTGCCATGGTTACGCATCATAACAAATGGCCAAAACTAAAAAAGTTTCAGTAAAAATCCTTCCAGCTGCACAGCATCTGATACCAGAGGAAACAATCATCCCAAGAAAGCAATTTACATCCAGCAAAAGAGGAATTAAAGTTTCCAAAAGCAACATCTCAGAATGAAAGTAACAGAGCTGCTCCAACATGCAGCCACCTGGAGCGGAGCAATTCTGGAAATAACCACACATAATTAACCATACAATAAATAAACCATACAGCTGTTCTGGCAGAAACAATGAGATCTTTGAGATAGAGTAGCTTTAAGGGGGCATTGCTCCACTTTGGCCTCGGTCACACTTGGACTACTCATTAGCAGATCAATCTGGACAGGATATTCCTTCAAACCATCTAAAAGGAACAATAGGTACAATTATTCAATTATTATTAATTATTCAATACAATTAAACAACACAGCACAACAACTGCTTCACTGAAGGTTCTTAATGACGTTGTTGAAGCACTGGATGCTAAGGATTATTGTGCTGCACTTTTCTTAGACCTGTCTGAAGCTTTTGACACTGTGGATCAGAACATCTTGTGTCATAAACTCTCAGAAATCGGTTCCTCAGAACACACCATTGGTTGGTTCTCTAACTATCTCTCAGATTGGAGGCAATGTGTTCAACATAATGGTGCTTCCTCCAGTTATTTAACAGTCAACAATGGTGTACCACAAGGCTCAGTCTTAGGTCCCACCATCTTTACAATCTATATAGGTAATGTAGGTCAGAGCATCCTTGATGCATCCATACACATTTATCCACATTTAACATCATCCAGACAGATTTGTTCCACCTCAAACTTGTCTTAAATTCCAATAAAACCAAAGGGATGCTTTTTTCAAACAGGAAGTTGGTTCCAGCAGTTCTTCCTCCGATTTTATCCTCCACTGGTGCTCCTATTGAGTTTGTTGATTCCTATAAATATTTGGGTATCTTGGTCGACTCACATCTCTCTTTTAAGCT